ATACTCTTCAGGATATTATCCAGGAAAACTTCCCCAACCTAGCAAGGCAAGCCAATATTCAAGTCCAGAAAATACAGAGAACACCACAAAGATATTCCTCAAGAAGAGCAAGCCCAAGGCACATAATCGTCAGATTCACCAGGGTTGAAATGAAGGAGAAAATGCCAAAGGCAGCCAGAGAGAAAGGTCGGGTTACCCACAAAGGGAAGCCCATTAGACTCACAGCAGATCTCTCAGAAGAAACCCTACAAGCCAGAAGAGAGTGGGGGCCAATATTCAACATCCTTAAAGAAAAGACTTTCAACCCAGAATCTCCTATCCAGCCAAACTAAGTTTCATAAGTGAAGGAAAAATAAAATCCTTTGCCAACAAGCAAGTACTCAGAGATTTCATCACCACTAGGCATGCTTTACAAGAACTCCTGAAAGAGACACTAAACATAGAAAGGAACAACCAGTACCAGCAAATCCAAAAACATACCAAATGGTAAAGAGAGTCAACACAATAAAGAAACTGCATCAATTAATGGGCAAAACAGCCAGCTAGCATCAAAATGGCAGGATCAAATTCACACATAACAATATTAACCCTAAATGCAAACAGGCTAAATGTCCCAATCAAAAGACACAATCAAGCAAATTGGATAAAAAGTCAAAACCCATCAGTGTGCTGTATTCAGAAAACCAATCTCACATGCAAGGGTACACAAGGGCTCAAAATAAAGGGATGGAGGAATATTTACCAAGCAAATGGAGAGCAAAAAAAGCAGGAGTTGCAATTCTCGTCTCTGACAAAATAGACATTAAACCAACAAAGATCAAAAGAGACAAAGAAGGACATTATATAATGGTAAAATGATCAATGCAACAAGAAGAGCTAACGATCCTAAACATATACACACCCAATACAGGAGCACCCAGATACATAAGGCAAGTTCTTAATGACTTACAAAGAGACTTAGACTCCCACACAATAATAGTTGGAGACTTTAGCACTCCATTGTCAATATTAAAAAGATCGATGAGACAAAAAATTAACAAGGATATCCAGCACTACAACTCAGACCTGAACCAAGCAAACCTAACAGATATTTACAGAACTCTCCACCCCAAATCCACAGAATATACATTCTTCTCAGCACCACATTACACCTACTCTAAAGTTGACCACATAATTGGAAGTAAATCACTCCTCAGCAAATACAAATGAATGGAAATCATAACAAACAGTCTCTCAGACCACAGTGCATTCAAGTTAGAACTCAGAATTCAGAAACTAACTCAGGACTGCACAGCTTCATGGAAACTGAACAACTGGCTCTTGAATGTTGACTGGATAAACAATGAAATGAAGACAGAAATAAAGATGCTGTTCGAAACCAATGAGAACAAAGACAAAACATATCAGAATAGAGGACACATTTAAAGCAGTCTCTAGAGGAAAATATATAGCAATAAATTCCCACAGTAGAAGTAAGGAGAGATCTAAAATTGACAACCTATCATCGAAATTGAAAAAGCTAGAGGAGCAAGATCAAAAAAACTCAAAACCTAGCAGAAGACAAGAAATAACTAAGATCAGAGCAGAACTGGAGGGGATAGAGACACAAAAAACCCTTCAAAAAATCAATAAATCCAGGAGATGGTTTTTTGAAAAGATAAAAAAAAATAGACAGACCACTAGCCAGATTAATAAAAAAAAAAAAGAGAGAGAGAATAATCAAATAGATGCAATAAAAAATGATAAAGGGGATATCACCACAGATTCCACAGAAATTCAAACCATCATCAGAGATTATTACAAACAACTCTATGCACATAAACTAGTTAACTTGGAAGAAATGGATAAATTCCTGGACACTTGCATCCTCCAAAATCTAAATCAGGAAGAAGTCAAAATCCTGAATAGACCAATAAAATGGTCTGAAGTTGAGGCTGCAATTAAGAGCCTACCACCCAAAAAGAGCCCAGGTTCAGATGGATTCACAGCGAAATTCTACCAGCCATACAAAGAAGAGCTTGTAACATTTCTTCTGAAACTATTCCAAACAATCCAAAAAGAGGGAATCCTTTACAGATCATTTTATGAGACCAACATCATCCTGATACCAAAACACAGCAGAGGCTCAACTTCAGGCCAACATCCATGATGAACATAGATGCAAAAATCTTCAATAAAATACTGTCAAGCCAATTGCAACAGCACATCAAAAAGGTTATCCACCATGATCAAGTAGGATTCATCCTGGAAATGCAAGACTGGTTCAACACACACAAGTCTATAAATGTAATTCACCACCTAAACAGAAACAAAGTCAAAATCATATGATTATCTCGATTGATGCAGAGAAGGCCTTTGAGAAAATTCAACAGCTCTTTATGCTAAAAATCTCAATAAACTAGGTATTGATGGAACGTATCTCAAAATAATAAAAGCTACTTATGACAAACCAACAGCCAATATCATACTGAATGGGCAAAAACTGGAAGCATTCCCTTTGAAATCTGGCAACAGACAATGTTGCCCTCTCTCACCACTCCTATTCAATATAGTACTGGAATTTCTAGCCAAGAAATAAGGCAAGAAAAAGAAGTTAAGGTTATTCAAATAGGAAAGGAGAATTGTATATTTATAAGACCTCATTGTCTCAGCCCCAAATCGCCTGAAACTGATAAGCAACTTCAGCAAAATCTCAGGATACAAATTCAATGTGCAAAAATCACAAGCATTCCTACACATCAATAACAGACTTAAAGAGAGCCAAATCAAGAATGAACTGCCATTCACAATTGTTACAAAGAGAATAAAATACTAGAAAAACAACTAACAAGGAACATGAAGGACCTGTTCAAGGAGAACTACAAACCACTGCTCAACGAAATAAGAGAGGACACAAACAGATGGAGAAACATTCCATGTTCATGGTTAGGAAGAATCAATATCGTGAAAATGACCATACTGCCGAAAATAATTTGCATATTCAACACTATCTCCATCAATCTACCAATGACCTTCTTCACAGAACTGGATAAAACCACCTTAAACTTCATATGGAACCAAAACAGAGCCCACATAGCCACGTCAATTCTAAGCAAAAAGAGCAAAGCGGGAGGCATCACGCTATTAGATTTCAAACTATACCACAAGGCTACAGTAATCAATGCAGCATGTTACTGGTGCCAAAACAGAGATATAGACCAATGGACAGAACAGAGGCTTCGGAGGCAACACAACATATTTATAACCATCCAAACTTTGACAAACCTGACAAAAACAAGCAATGGGGAAAGGATTCCCTGTTTAATAAACGGTGTTGGGAAAACTGGCTAGCCATGTGCAGAAAGCAGAAACTGGACCCCTTCCTGACACCTTACATTAAAATTAACTCCAGATGGATGAAATACTTAAACATAAGACCTAACACCATAAAAACCCTAGAAGAAAATCTAGACAAACCATTCAGGACGTTGGCATAGACAAGGACTTCATGACCAAAACACCAAAAGCATTAGCAACAGAAGCCAAAATAGACAAATGGGGCCTAATCAAATTCCACAGCTTCTGCAAAAACAAAACAAAACAAAACAAAACAAAAAAACAGTCATTAGAGTGAATCTGCAGCCAACAGAATGGGAAAAAAATTTTGCAGTGTACCCCTCTGACAAAGGGATGATATCCAGAATTTACAGAGAACTAAAACAGATTTACAAAACAAAAATGAACAAGCCCATTCAAAAGTGGGTGAAGGTTATGAACAGACACTTTACAGAAGAAGACATACGTGAGGCCAACAAACATATGAAAAAATGCTTATCATCACTGGTCATTAGAGAAATGCAAATCAAAACTGCTTTGAGATACCATTTCATGCCAGTTAGAATGGTGATCATTAAAAAATCTGGAGGCAACAGATGCTGGAGAGGATGTGGAGAAATAGGAAAACTTTTACATTGTTGGTGGGAGTATAAATTAGTTCAATCATTGTGGAAGACAGTGTCATGATTCCTCAAGGACTTAGAAATAGAAATTCCATTTGACCCAGCAATCCCATTACTGGGTATATATCCAAAGGATCGTATGTTCTACTATAAGGACATATACAATTGAATGTTCATTGCAGCATAGTTTACAATAGCAAAGACCTGGAACCAACCCAAATGCCCAACGATGATAGACTGGACAGGAAAAATGTGGCACATATACACCATGGAATATTACACAACCATCAAAAATGATGAGTTTGTGTCCTTTGTAGGGACATGGATGAACTTGTAAACCATCATTCTCAGCAAACTGACGCAAGAACAGAAAATCAAACACCGCATGTTCTCACTCACAGGCAGGTGTTGAACAATGAGAACACATGGACACAGGGAGGGGAGCATCACACTCTGGGGTCTGTTGGGGGGATATAGGGGAGGGACAGTGGGGAATGGGGAGCTGGGGAGAGATAGCATGGGGAGAAATGACAGATATAGGTGAAGGAGAGTAAGGCAGCAAATCATGCTGCCATGTGTGTACCTATGCAACAATCTTGCATGTTCTTCACATGTACCCCAAAACATAAAATGCAATCAAAAAATAAAAAAGAACACGAATGGATTTCAAAATCATAATGTGAGCTAAAAATCCAGACAGCAAGAAATACATATTGCCTTATTTTATGTGTTGTAGTCCAAACCTGGACAAGCCTAAACAAGTTATTAGCAGTCAGCGTAGTTACCTTAGGGAAGAAGATGATTAATGGTTGTGGGGAAATTGCAGGGAGGAACCAAGGATGTCTTCACTTGTATCGTCTCACCCTCTTGGATGTCAGGGCCCCAAAAGAGGGTGCTAGCATAGTTACGATGGTTCATAAATCTCATGAAGAAAAGCAAATGATAGACAGCATCAAACTCAGTTCTTTTATGAATGTCCCAGACTGGATAGAGGGTGCCCACTTAGTTTTGTATCTTATTATGTAAAATGAGGGTTCTCCAAAGATAAACATGTCATCTGTAGCATGGACAGAGTTACGTGCTGTCAGCACATTTTACTATGTGGAGTTTCCTGC